TCTCAACATAGTCCATATCTTAGAATTATTATCCAATTGTTGGGTGTTTTGGATACTTCTCTTTTTAATAATCTAAATTTTCCTTATTTCTAATGATGAAAGTATGTTTGACTATGATCTGATCTTCTCTACTCCTAATGGCCTTCTAATTGCTAAATCCAATGGACTCTTTCTAGTACTTACTGAGACCTTTTTTTTTTCTTATAATGACATTGTTTGGATATCAAATGAGTTGTGGAATGTCTCATCCATTTTTATTTTCTAAAACTTTGATATGAAATCAAATCTGTGATATATTTTTTTTTTTTTTTAAATGAGAAAATTCATCAGTAAAACCTGTAAGCCTGGAATTTTGTTTGTGGTATTCTTTGATAATGAATTTGATTTTTTTTTTAAATAGATATTTTTGATTCAGACTTCCTATTTCATTAGTTTTCATAGTTTGTGTCTTTTAAGGAATTTATCCACTTCTGATGACAATAGGGTTATAGTGACATTCCATCATTTATTTAATATATATGTATGGGGAGTTCTGGTGGCATAGTGACTAAGGCATTTGACTGCTAACCAGAAGGCTGGCAGTTCAAACCCACCAACCACTCCTTGGAAGGAAGGTTGGCCAATCTACTTCTGTAGTGATACTGCTTTGGAAACCCAAGGAGAGGTCACTATGAGTCGCATCTGATTTGACAGCAGTGAGTTTTTATACACACATACACACACACACACACACACATACATATACATTAAAAAAGAAAAACCTCACTGCCATCAAGTCAATTCTGACTCATAGTGACCCCTCCTTGTGTTTCTAAGGTGATATCTCTACAGAAGTTGTCTTCCTTCTGAGGAGTGGCTGGTGGGTTTAAACTGCCAGACTTCTGGTTAGCAGTCAAATGCCCTAGGCACTATGCCACCAGAACTCCCATACACACACACACACACACACACACACACACACACACGTGCATATATATGATTTAGGAGCTCTGGTAGCATGGTGCGTAAGGCACTTAACTGCTAACCAGAAGGCTGGGCAGTTCAAACCCACCAGCCACTCATTGGAAGGAAGATTGGGCAATCTACTTCTGTAGCAGTACTGCCTCGGCAACCCAAGGAGGGGTCACTATGAGTCAAGGCCGACTCAACAGCATGTAACAACAACAACATATATGATTTATGTTTGATATTTTTTTTTCCTTATTAAACCTTGATAGGTATTACTCGATTTTTATTAATCTTTTCAAAGTACTACCTTTGACTGTAATTTTCTCTATTGTTTGTTTTCTAAGTTTACTGTTTATTTTTTTTTTTTGTTTCTTTGGGTTTAATTTGCTCATTTTTTATCAGCTTCCTAAAGTAGAAAATTTTTTCATTGATTTTAAGCCTAATCTTTTCAATATAACCATTGAAAGATATAAATTCTCCTCGAAGCACTGCTTTAAAAGGACCCCAAATTTTTTGATACATTTTATGTTTATTATCACATAAGGCTCCTTTAATATACTTTTATGGATTTATAATTTCATTTTATTGTGGTTAGATAATACAGCATATATGATTTTAATTTGTTTTATCCCCAGCTTAAGTGTATCTTGTAAAAGTTTCATTTACATTTGCAAAGAAAATGTGTTCTGCAGATGTTGTTTATAAACCAAAAACCGACTTTGCCATCAAGTTGGTTCTAACTTACAGCGACCCCCATTGGGTTTCCAAGGTAGTAAATATCTACTGAAGTGATTGCTCCATCTTCCTAACGCAGAGTGGCTAGTGGGTTTGAACAACCAGCATTCTGGTTAACAGTCAAATACCTTAGGCACTGCACCACCAGAGCTCCTTGTTGTTGTGAATACTGATCTGTAATTTCAATTTGGACAAAGGATAATTCGTAATGTCATTCAGATATTCTCTATCCTTAATGAATTTTTTGTCGAGTTGATCTATCAATTACCAACTGTTATCATTGTGAGGTCCTAGGTTGTTACGAAACATTACCAACTAAGGAGTGTTAAAACTTCTAGTTATGTTTGAAGATTTATCTGCATTTCCCCTATAATTATGTATTTTAAAACTTGCTATTAGACATATGCACATTTTTTATTGTTATTGTGTCTTTTTGAAATTTTGACCCTTTTTCCCAGTATGAGATATCTCTATCTCTGTAATAATGCCCCTTATCTCACAGTCTGTTTTGTCTGATACCTTGCTTATAATGTTAACATGGTATGTCTTTTTCTCTCTTTTTCTTTTAGATTATCGGTGTCTTTTACTCCAAATGCATCTAACTGATTATGTTTGATATTGTTTTTATCAAATTTGACAGTCTCTACTTTTTAATTGTAGTGTTTAGTTCATTTAGGAGTGTTTAGTGTAGTTATTTCGGAAGGAAGGTTAGGCAATCCTACTTCTGTAGTGATACTGCCTCGGAAACCCAAGGAGGGGTCGCTATGAGTCGGGGCCGACTCGACGGCACATAACAACAACAACAACAGTGTAGTTATTAAAGTACTGATATGCTTTGCAGTTTGTGTTCTATTTTATCTGTATTTTTATTTCTCTGTTCCTCCTTTCTTGCCTTTTTTTGGGGGAGCTCATCATATATTTTTAGTTTTCCCTTTTGATTTCTCTATTGACGTTTTAGCTACACCTATTTGTATTAATTTTTTCATGTTTTCTCTGTGAATGACTATGCAGCTATAAATTATCATGATCTACTTAGAGTCGGTATTATATTATTTCACATTTAATATGGAAACTTTGCAGCAGTATATGTCTATATACTCCCTCATCACTGTGCTATTGTCATATATATTACATCTACATATGATATAATTGCCATAATACAGTAGTATAACTTTTCTTTAAAAAGTGTTTTAAACTCTTTGACATAGACTTTTAAGGATATTAAAAAAATAGAATAAATATTTTTGGTTTTCTACAATCTCCATTGGTACTTTTTTAATATCTCTAATGAGATCTCCCATCTGTTTTTCCATCACGCATGTTTTCATCTAAATGATTAAGCATATTTATAACAGCTACTTTGAAGTTCTTATTTACTAACTGCAACATCTAGGTCATCTTTGGGAGCTCTGGTAGCATAGTGCCTAAGGCAATTGACTGCTAACCAGAAGGCTGGTGGTTCAAACCCACCACCTACTCCTTGGAAAAAAGATTGGGCAATCTACTTCCACAGTGATACCACCTCAAAAACCCAAAGGGGGGGGGTCGCTATGAGTCAGATCAGACTCAACGGCAGTGAGTTTGTTTTTTGAGGTCATCTTTGAGTTGACTTACCCCCCCCATGAATATGTGTTGCCATTTTCTGCTTCTTCACATATTTAGTGACTGCTGATTGTATACTGGATTTATGAATGACATGTTGTAGAGATACTGAATTCTGTCATGTCCCTTTGAACATGTTTTCTAGCAAGTATATATCTTGACTAGATTCAAATTCCCAACTCCCCTGTGACAGATGTCACTTAGTTATTTTATTTATTTATTTATCTATCTATCTATCTATTTATTTATTTATTAGCTGCTACAGTTTGACAAGACCTTCTCAGGTCTTCCCCAAGCCCTGCATAGATAAGTCAATTATTTGGATGAATTTTATATGCATATTTGGGGGTTCATGCTCTCTATCCTTAACCACTCAATCCAGCCTTCTAAGGAGACAGCCTTCTACCACTTTGAGCTGCACAGATTAAGAGATTACCTCAGGCAAAAAGCTGGTAACACCACATGTCCTCAGGAGAAGCTTTTGTGTCTCAAGGTAGATTCCGGTGTTTCTTCCCTTCTACCATTGCCCTGGGAGCTCTGGTGGTATAGTGCCTAAGGCATTTGGCTGCTAACCAGAAGGCTGGCAGTTCAAACCCACCAGCCACCCCTTGGAAGGAAGATTGGGCAATATACTTCTGTAGTGATACTGCCTCAGAAACCCAAGGAGGAGGGATCACTATGAGTCGGATCCGACTCAACAGCAATGAGTTGTTTTTGTTTTTGTTTTTGTTTTACCATTATCCTGGATGGTTTCTGTCCCTTGCTTTTGACATATAATTTTTTTTTACACACATAAAATATTATGTATACAAAAGTAAACTTATTATACTATATTAATACCTTTGGACTAGACTATTATTCTACAAAGAGATGTTTATCTAGATACACAAATATAATTATTTCAGATGTAATAGTCAGAGTGTTCAGAAAACCTCAAGAGTATTAAACCTATATACTGTTCCTATCCAAAAAGGTTTGGAAGTAGCTGTTTACTTGCTTTTATAAACTGTCATCATTTAAGCAACTAATAATATTTGTTTGAAAAAATGTTTTTACCCACTATCTTGATACTTTTTAAGGAATGAGAATTAGAGAAAAAGGCATCAAAACTTTGCTTAAATATTTATAAGAGATTTGAATTTAGAGCAGTGAGAGTTTGGAGAACTGCTAAAAACAGATAGAGGGGGAATCAGTTGGATAAATACAGTAGCTCTTTTAGTGACTATCTTAGTGATCAAGAGATCAGAGCTGTAAAGTGAAACAGATTAGCCTCCCTTGGCTTAACAGTTATGTTGTTTGAGGAGCATTCTTCCAATAATGTAGATTTCAGAGTTATGAAATCATCTTAATAATGTTATTGCCTCTAGAAATCTTTAGAACTAAACCCACATTTTATTTTAAACAGTGTCCATCGGTAACAAGTCTAGTGTCATCATCACTTAAAGAAAGTCTTGGAGATTCTTTCTCACCAGCATCTGGGGAAAAAACATCCATTGCAGGTGGTTATGTCTAATTATTTTACCTTATTTTATTTGTGACATCTTTTGCTCAAAATTCTATTTGTGGGAGAAATAATGGTCTCCATAATTACAGGAAAAATAACATGTTTGCCTGAAGTTTAATCCCAACTGCAGTTTACTAATCATGTCAGTTTAGACACAGTACTTAATCTCTCAGTGTCTCAATTTCCCTAATTCATAACAATTCATAGCAAACTATTAACTTATAAGAATAAGACTTTTTTGAAATTTAAGGAATACAGTGCATTTTAGCCATTAACCTGGTTCCTGACACACAGTGATCACTAAATTTGACCACTTATAAACCAATACCTGTTGTTGTTGAGTTGATTCCAACTCATAGTGATCTTATAGGATAGAGTAGAACTGCCCCCATAGGGTTTCCAAGGCTGTAAATCTTTATGGAAGCAGATTGCCGTATCTTCTGTGTAATGAATGGTGGGTTAAAACTGCCAGCCTTTCAGTTAGCAGCTGAGTGATCTAGCCACTGCACTCCCAAAGCTCCGAATTATTATTATGCATGAGTTTATATAACAGTCTAGGAGCTCTGATAGCATAGTGCCTAAGGAACTTGACTGCTAACCAGAAGGCTGGTGGTTCAAACCCACCAGCCACTCCTCGGAAGGAAGGTTAGGCAATCTACTTCTATAGTGATACCACCTCGGAAACCCAAGGAAGGGTCGCTATGAGTCGGGCAGACTTGACAGCACATAACAACAACAATAACAACAATGTAACAGTTTATAGTACAACATAATGGTTAGGTGGACTTTCGGAGTGAGACTAGGCTGCATTTGAATCTGTGCACAAATACGTGAGCAAAATAATTAACTTTCCTGAAGTTGTATAAAAGCAAAAACAAAAACCTTGTATATTAACATGTAAAATGGGTTAGTAAGAGTAACCTACCTTACAGGTTATTGTGAGAACTAAGTGGATTAAGACGTGTAAAGTGCTTAGACCAGTACATAGTAAGCACATAGTAAGTGTGATGGGTGACTTGTTAATATAACTTCTTTCTTTAGAGCCATAACTTAGAGCTTATTGAGAAATAAAAAGCATAACCATTTCTAAAACATGGATGTATAACTAACATTTATTAAGTGCTTACTATGTAGTATAATTTTTGTCATTTTGCAGACTGGAAAAACTGAAGTGCAGAAATAATTGGGAAACATACCCAAGGTTAGTGGTAGAGCCACAATTTGAATCTTTAGTTCCAACTGTGTTCCTTTTACTGCATAGAGTTATTAACAGCACTAAAGAATTGAGTAATGATAATGAGTCTAAAGTATTGCCTAAGATGTGAATGTATAAGTATAATAGAAAAGTTATTTTAAATCTAGCTTAAACCTCAGGAGGAGTTCAAACAAAATGGCTGTAATGAAAGCAGCAGAATCAAGACATTTGTCAGTGAAGATGCAGGTTTAGCCAAGAGGTGGATCTTAGTAGCATTCAAAGTTGGCAATCTCTACAAAAAAACACTATTTTATTTCTGTTGCACATTACAAAGTATGATAGCATTGGAATAATCGAAGCAATTTTGTAAAAGTTAACCTGATTCTCCTCTCGTGCTGGAGCTTGAGCATGTCCCTTAGAGCATTGAGAGGTAAGTAAAAGGCCTCCTTTTGGTGCACCTTTAGGTATAGGAGGCAACACTGCATCATGTGTGGGGATGAAAGTTATGGAAAACTAGCTTTATCTGTGGGGTGCACCCTTCTAAACTTGCATTCTTTGCATCTGTACAGTTCTGTAACTATACTGCTAGGAACTGAAATGGCGTAGAGATGATATGACTCCTACTTACACTGCCTTTTGTTACAGCTTAGAAACAAAGCTTTATATAGAACAGATTTTACCATTTTACATACTTAATTTATACATTGACAAGGTCTTTTGATGCATCTTTGTGTTTGGATGGTTACCACATTCTGTTTATTAAGATGCTACTTTTTTAAGTATTGGATTTTCTAAATACTTCAATAGATTAACTGTAGTCATTTTCTCTTTTGTAGCTTGCTTTAGAAAAAACTTGAAGTTTAATATGATTGTTTTATGTTTTATCATGCAAAATAAATTATAGAGAGCCATCATATAGAGGAAAACAAGTGAATTTATTATCTAATTCAGAAGGGAGTGTTAATGTTGTTACTCTACTTTAAAATAGATCAGAATGAAGAATTCACTGAAAACTATAGTTCCTTGAAGTCAAAAGAAAATGAAGAGCACTTATTTTTGAAAGACTTTGCTCCTACTGCACCTGAGAAACCCAAGCAAAGTCAACTGACTGCTGATATCCTTAAGGGAGAAAAGGAGAAAACAGAACTGATTACGGATGATGAATTAACAGTTGATACAGTTGACGCACTACTGTTTAAATCTCAGAGTGTCTTGATATCCACCAATGCAACTGAATCTGCAAAGGTATTTTTATAAATTTATACATTTTATTATATAGCTTAAAACTTGAAATAGAACTTTAAATATTTTATCTTCCATTTTTTGTATGTTTGAATTACCTGTGGAAAACCCCTCTTCTGATAATGGTATTATATGTCAAATGCTTTTTACATAATTCAGTAGAATTTTAACTTCGGAAAAGTTTTAGAGTGAATGTAAAAAACACAAACCTACTGCCACTGAGTCAATTCCACCTCATAGGGACCCTCATTTGGTTTCCAAGATGATAAATCTTTACTGAAGTAGATTGCCTCATCTTCCTTCTGTGGAGTGACTGGTGGGTTTGAAATGCCAAGCTTCTGGTGAGCAGTCAAATGCCTTAGGCACTGTACCACCAGACCTCCTTGGAGAAGGTAGTGGAGCCAAATATTTCTTCAAAAACTTGGTTTTCAAGACAATATTATTCTATGAGAGCAAAATAATTAGCTGATTGTGATGATGGCCTTATTCATCTATTTTTAAAAGTATGTATTTTGTAAATACTTGCTAAAGATTTTCATTATAGTTTTTAAAATGTTGTGAAATGACATTTAAAAGAATAACAGTCACTAATTAAAAATTTTAGAAATTTTTCCATATATCTGCATTTTTATAATATGGAAACCTATAGAATCCTATACACTTACAGGTACATATTTCTAAAATATTTAAAATACATTATGATTATATACCTCTGATCATTTTTTTTTAATTGTGATTTGGGTGAAAGTTTACAGAGCACATTCACTTTCCATGCAGCAGCTCACATACATTTTGTCTCATGACATTGACAATTTACCACAATGCATCAGCTTCTCTCCCACTTCCTCCCCATAGTTCCCTCTTCCCTGTGTCCTTCCCTCCATGCACTCCTGCCCCTTGAGCTGTCACCCTGTGCATACATAATGCTTCTAATCTCTATGATTGTTCTCTCCAAGGAGTATATCTACCTAATGTAAATGTTCACCTCATATCATATGCCTGTCTTTTGTTTGGCTGGAAGACACAGGAGTGGGTTCAATTCCAGACCTGAAGGGCAGTAAGGGGCCATAGTCTCAGTGGTTCCATTAGGCTCTATCAGACCAGCAAACCTGGTCCTTTTTTTTTTTTTTTAATGTTTTTAAGTTTTGTTCCACATTGTTCTCCCATTCTATCCAGGATCTCCTACAGAGATCTCCTTCCGAGTGGTTGACAGTGGTAGCTGGGCACCTCTAGATCTTCTGGTCTCATAGTTGCATAGGCTGAGGATCGCATGGTGTACCAGTCGCTTGGACTAATTATATCCATGTGCCTTTGGTTTTCTTCATTCTTCTTTGCTCTAGATGAGGAGAGACCCATCGTTGCATCTAGATGGTTGCTTGCAAGCTTTTAAGATTGCAGTTGCTACTTGCTGAAGTAGGATGTGGAACAATGTTTTGTTTAGTATGTTATACCAATTGAGCTTGATGCCTCCTGCAGGTAGTGTCCCAAGCCCATAGGTCCAACTACTCACTCACTCTGGCTGTGGCCGAGAAGTGACTACAACCTTGTCCCTTGTCAGCTCCACTATATACCTAGAAATTCTTACAGAATATAGAAATACACTTGTAGAAACATTGTCTGCCAACCTTTTACACGGGCTTGGGCCACTCTCCCCTGCATAGACATACCTAGTAGTTTAGCCTGTCCAATCATCTATCCACCCTTATATCCATTATTGCCTTCATTGACAATGTAATACTGTATGTGTAAAAGGGTTCATCTTTGTTGTCTGTTCCTCCTATGCACCTCTTTATGTCTTCCTCTTCCTCAGTGCCACTGTGTTGATCACTAACATGTGATACATTGCCCTTCTCTTCACCAAAATCAGTACTTGGCTCTACCTATCTAACAGTGTTCCCTCCCCTCCCCTCCCACCCCTGGTAACCAACAAAGAAAATTACCTTCCATATATAAACCTTTCCTTGACTTTTCACAATAACAGACTAATACAATATTTGTCCTTCTGTGATTGACGTATTTCATTCAGCTAATCTAATCTCTATGATTGTCCTCCAAGTTCATCTACGTTATGCATGTTCTGCAGATTCTATGTGAAGCTTAATGTCCTCCAAGTTCATCTACATTATGTGGGCGTTCTGCAGATTCTATGTGATTCTTTAGGATTGCATAGTATTCCATTGTGTTTATGTACCATAGTTTGGTTATCCATTCTTCAGTTGACGGAAAGCTAGGTTGTTTCCATCTTTTGGCTGTTGTAAAGAGTGCTGCAATGGACATGGATGTGCATATATCTGTTCTTGTCCTGGCTCTCATTTCTTTAGGATATATACCTAGTAATGGAATGGCTGGGTCAAATGGTATTTCTAATTTCAACTTTTTAAGAATTGCCATACTGCTTTCCACAGTGGTTGTATCATTTGACAGTCCCACCAGAGTGTATGAGAGTCCAGATCTTTCCACGTCCTCACCAGCATTTGTTATTTTCTGTCTTGTTGAATTTTGCTGCTAGTGCTAGGGCAAGATGGTTCCTCATTGTAGTTTTAATTTGCATCTCACTAATGGCTAATGATTGTGAGCATTTCTTCATATGATTGTTGGCCACCTGAATATCCTCTTTGGTGAAGTGTCTATTTGTGTCTTCTGCCCATTTTTTAATTGGATTATTTGTCTTTTTGTTATTGAGGTGTTGGAGTTTTCTATATATTCTAGAGATAAGTCCTTTGTCAGATATGTCA